CTTTCTATATTTGCTATGCCTTTTCCTTCTTTTATTTGTCCATTATTATCTTCAGATCCTGGTGTTAAAGCAAAAGGAAGAATACTTGGAGTCTTCTTGTATCATGCTCCTTTGTTTTTTCATAATATTTTGAGCATTTCTGCATTGTCACAATTCCATCCTCCAGTCCTTCAAATTCAGAATGGTGGTGCTGTGGTTAAAGCATCAGGCTAGAAACAGATTATGAGTTCTAGTCTCTGCACATGCACATGCACACACGCGCACACACACACACACACACACACACACACACACACTCCTTCAAAAGTACTTTGAAGCAAACCCCAAAATGGTTAGAGCCAGGCTGACTCCTTCTGAGTAATTGTCATTATTGCTGTTTTTGCAGATACGGGAAGCGCAAAAGAGAAAATAACCAGTGATTATTTTTAGTTCATGTTTCTACGCATCTATATGACCAAGTGTTAAAAGTCTGAGTAGTTGCTAAGATGAAATGCTGCTAAGTCATATTTCCTCTTAAAGGTTCAGTGTGAAAATAACAAGTCTAAAACCAGAGAGAGGCGTGAGGGGAGACTGTACAAGTGCGGAAAAATTAATGACCCAGAAGGTCTGCAGAGTTTCAATATTTCAAAAGAAAAAAAAAAATTGGAACTTTGTTTTGATTTCAAATAAATCATATTGGAAACCAACTCTGTGTGTGTGGGTGAAGACAACTGCATAGGTATAAAAATTTTCTAACTCCTGCAAACTCTCTATATGAAAATGGATTACAAAAGAATGTTTTGTTTAAATATTTTATTTTTAAAAACAAAAATGACCAAACTGCTGTTTGTTATACCTGCCAAAAGTAACTTCGTTTTGGCTATTGATCCTTGATCTGTTTCGGATTGGACTGAATGATTTTTTAAAAGCTAAGAATTGTGGTACTTATGAGGCAAACAGTGAGAACTGGGAACATAGGAATTAAACATTACATTAGTAAAGCGTAGAAAATGTATAATATAAAATAATCCTTCCCTTAAAAGCCCAGTCCACATGATTTCTCAAAATGAGATGTGAGAAGGGATTTCAGGTCAGGATTCATGGCAAACTAGATGTCTCCAAAGGAGTGGAGAGGTGTTGCAGTGAGATCAGTAACCAGATGGTGTTTTCTGGTGGTCAAGCTTCTCCAGATAAAAGAGAGACTGTGAGATTACCCATTTGCACTCCAGACAATTGTTCCTCATGAGCAAACAGCAGGAACTAAGATTTTTGCAACTAGCTCCTGAGTGGAGTGTCTAGGACAATGATGGTGAACCTTTTAGAGACCGAGTGCCCAAAAACTGGCCCCGCCCGCGCCCCACCCCCTGCCCCGCCCCCCATCCCTTGCACCGCCTGCCCTCAGGGCCACTCACCACCTCCAGGGCCCGCCACAGATCGCCCAGGCAGCCCAGCAGCGCTATGGCAGTCACGCCCTCTGCCCGCACCCTGCAGCATCAACTGTGCACAATGGGGTGTGAGGGCAGAGTCTTGTCTATACTGCCTGGCAGCCATGTCCTTGGCTGTGCTGCTCCGCGTGGGCCACGCTCAGGGGCGACTCTCCTTCAGGGGGCTGCTGGAGAGGAGGGGGTCACGGGGGGAGGCAAGGCTGGGGCAATGGCACGTGTACCCACAGAGAGGGCTCCGAGTGCCGCCTCTGGCACCCGTGCCATAGGTTCGCCACCACTGGTCTAGGAGTCAAGGGATTCCCACCAAGCTCACTGCCACAATACCATGTTATGGACACAAAATTCTACCAAGCCTAATTTCTTAATCACTTTTGGAAATTGCTTAACTGCTTTTTAACTATTACGAACCTTCTGATCTTCAGGTCTGATAGTAGACTTTGGGTGAATTGAGTTTAACCTTTAGTGAAACATATATTAGAAGAGTTAGAAGTTTAAAAACATTTTTTTTAAAAAAACTCTTTTGGAATAAAGAGCAGAAGTGTGATTAGAACTGTGGGAAGTCAGAGCCCCAGAGAAGGAAATATTAAAAGGGCAGAAAAATATATTTCCTCAAAAGTATTTTAAAAAGCAGAAACCAACTTTGCCCCCAAGCCAACTATCCCAAACAGGAGCTAGCCCCCTACAAATGCAGATGTAAAACCATCAGAAAGTTGAAGCCAGAGCAATCAAGAAGACAAAGAGAAAATCTGCATGCCCCACCCAAACTCTAGGAGTCACTAGCCCCATCACCTGGGAAGCAGGACATGATAACAGGATTAAACCACAGATATCAAGGCCTAGAAAAACACTCAGAAATAGCCTCAAAGTTCATGCCACAGGAACAGGAAACTATTCCAAACAGGGCTAGAGAGGGTATAAAAGCCTACTACCCATGTGCTCAGTCTCTTCTTCTCTCCTCTGCTCTTTCCTGAAGAACCATCTTTCTGCTTCTGCAATAAACTGTAACCTTCTTCCCAAAGCAGTCGCCATGTTTGCTTATTTATTCCCGGCTTGGATGAACCAGGATGAAGACTTACTTCTATCAGAACATTAATTCTAGAAAGTTATAAACAGAGCAAGGATGGATGGACGGATTTAAATAAGATTTTAATATTAACTATAAGAATCTTTCCCATGGGAAAATGCTGTTGTTTTCAATTCCTAAAATAATTCATAATAGGATAGGATTTTAAATGTTTGGCAGTAGAGGGAATCTGAGGGACTAAAGATTACAACTAAAGCGGAAGAACATTTAAATTTGACTCACTCTCACAGAATAGAGTAAAATACTTTAATATTGGATATATTGGAAAATATTTTTGAATTATGCACTCAGAAGCTAATTTTAAGAGTGACTGCTTCTACAGATAGGTTATGTTTTAAAAGGTGTCATGGAACACATTTTACCAGACAAGACTGAGACTGATCTGAAAGGGGATTTAAAAATGACAAGCTATGAGAATGATATTAGCAAAAGATGCTACACTGGATTTACAAATAAAATAGCTGTTGTCTTAATAATAAAAGGGATGTACAAATAGCAGACAAAAAGAATGACTTGGATAACTTTCTTATATTAGATCTACAAAAGAGACTTATTAAACTTCAGAAGGATTTTGTGAGAAGGGGCACATAAAATAGAAACGAAAACCTTATTTGAAGAGAATATTTTTGAAAGTTTCTGTTTTACAGCTACCTTTCTTCTAGGGGAGTACACTTTGTAGGGAAGCAAACAATTTTATTGGAGGAAATTGTTATGGGATTTTCTTATAGTACTCCTCAAGGACATTCCTCCCAGGGAGAAAAATGACATTATTTAGGTGAGTGTGCATGAAAACAAAATAAAAAGTATCACAAAATAATACAAAGAGCAAAATAGGACTTTGTAAACCAGCAGAACGTTGTAGTAGTACTTGCAGATCCTACAACCAGGATCAGTATTAAGTATTTGCTGATCATATGTGCAATGCCACAATACACATGCAAAAATGAGTGTAGCTTTTCATAATAGCCTACACAAGTAGAAGTGGAGATAAAGGAAATTGTTCTTTTTTAAGGCAGAAGTTCTAAATGCAAACGTTGTGATGACTTCTATTATAATGGAATATAGTAGTGCATAAAATTGATTTGTAATGCTGCAGTCCTAAGCATGTTTATTTAACAGATTCCATCATAGGGAAAAGACTGAATTGCTTTGAAATAAAGGTAAGATACTTAGATGATATTATAAGGCTGTAATTATAAACGCATTTAACTGGATTGAAACTTACCAATAGTTCTTTTTCTCAAGGGGCTCATGTGATGTGAACAGTTTCGTAATAAGTAAAAATCAGCAAATAAAAGATTTCCCATCAGTGAAGATCCATTTTAGAAGTTTCACTTCCTAATTTCAAATTTTTATGCGTAAAACTGGTGAGGACATCGGACGGAAAAAAAAAATACCACCAGCCTATTCTCAGAATAAACATTTTATCTGATATTTATTTTAATTTTATCTGACAAAATACAGGTCTCTCCAACATAACCACCGGATTTGCCCTACTTAACAATACTGCAATGATCGTCTTCGTGCTATTGTAAGAGGCTAAGCAACTGCCCCTTAGTAGGGTTGCCAGGTGTCCACTATTTGAGTGGACAGTCCACTTTTTTCACATTATGTTCACTATTTTTTTTCACAAAATAGTAAACATGTGAAAAAAGTGGACTGTCCACTTTTTTTTCCACAAAACAGTGGACATTTTTTTATTCAAAAGCTTTATGATGAAATGGTATGTAATCTAAAGCTGTACAGTCTACTTTTTTTACTACTTAACCCCCCCCCCCGCTTGTCCGCTATTTTTTGGAAGCAGACCTGGCAACCCTACCCCTTATTTCACACCCTATCGGCATCAGCACCAGGCAATGTAAGCAGCAGCAGCAGCATCCACTGGAATTGGAGCGGCCACTACATTTAAATAAATAAATAATAACTCATGTCCCCTGGCATCCTTAAATTTTACATTCTCTCCTTGGCTCCTTTGCAAAGAGAAAAAGGGGCAATAGAAGCAACCAAGCCAGTCTCGGGATTTATGGCAAAGCTGCTGCTGCTCAGTTTGGTAGAAAAGGATTAGGGGAGGGAAGATCTATGGTCTTGGCTTCTAAAGTCTGGAAGTATCATGGAAGAGACTGCTCTCCCCAATAAAAAGTCACCGCATCTCCTATCTCTTGAGGAAACAGCAGGAAATGCGATGCAGCGTTTGCTCTAGCATAGGACCCAAGTCTGTAAAATTGTGGAATTACTTGACTCAGTTTCCCCCAAGACAGCTTGAAAACCCACAATGCAGGGAAGCGCAAGAGTAACTCTAATCCCAGGGCGCTACGAGGCGCACACGCGCGACCATCTCCCGGGGGGGTGGGGACCGAGCGTCCGGTCTCGGGGACTCCGAGAGCGCGTGCCACGGGTCCCTCCCTCGCCCAGCTCGTCGTTCGGGACAGCGCGTGCGCTCTGTCAGGGCGGAACGCTTCGTTCCCGCTGAGCGGAGGCCTCGCGAGATCGTTTGATGAGGGGCGTAGCGGAAGCTGTTCTGCGGCTCTCCTGCTGAGGGGTAAGAAGCGCCCGAGGGGGAGAGGGAAGCGGTGGGGGGGGAAGAGGGGGGACACTCGGAGCGCAGCCCCGGTTTACGGTGAATTGACTGGGGCGGCGCGTCCGGTGCAATCGAGCGGATGTCTCTCGGGAGCCCTAGTTGTCGTGGGCTCTGCTTCTGGCTCGCCAAAGCGAGCGGGTGGCCCCAGCCTGTCAAAGGGCTCGGGCGCTGATTTCCGACAGCATTATGCCAGTTTGCGCGCGCCGGAACTTTCCCTTTCGCAGTTTCGATCTTGCTTGCAGAGAACTGCAACTTTTGAAGCGGGGGGGGGGGGCTCCTTCTCGGCTCCGCCCTGGTATTGCTAACTTTCGAAACCTTCCTCTCTTGTTTGCAAACCCTACGCTGGCTTTGGGGGAGTTTTTTTGTTTTGCTTTTCTCGGGATTGTACTGTTTGGCCTCGATACAACAAGGCAGCTTTTATAGTCATGCGAAGTTGGGCCGGTAGGAAAACTGCTTTCCTGAACATGTTAGTTTGCATGCTAGTTCATGCCGATTGTACGATATAGTAAGTTAAAAGCGGATGTTACAGGAACAAGTTTATTTCCGTCGTTGATCAGCCCAAGGTAGAATCGGAAAATATGGAGTTTATCATCTGATTCTGATTATAATTAGACGGTCAACTGCATAATTTTCCAATTTTATCTTCCAATTTTAACCTGAAAACCTAAAAGGGAAAAATGGATGCTACACTGAGTCTTCAGTAAAAATGGTGTGTGGGTAAGAGGAATATCAGTAAATTTTGAATCTTACATTAAGAGTCAGCTGAATTTGGGAGTTTCTCGTATATGTATATATAGTTTTGCTGTTTTAATAAATTCTAGGCATGTGACTAGAGATACATACCACAGTATGCAATGAGCGCTTATTGCAGACATGTCAAACACAAGGCCTGGGGGCAGGATGCGGCCCGCAAAGTGGTTTCATGTGGCCCGCGAAGCCATCCTGGAAACAGTGAGGGAACACACACCCCCGCTGCCTTGGCCCTGGCCCAGGCCGGCCGGGAGCCAATGTACAATTTTGTGGTGGCCATCTATGCTGAAACGCATTCAGTCTTAGCTCCACAAGGCCGTCTAGAAACAGCGAGGAACCAGCCCCTGCTGCGTCGCCCCTGCCCCCTGGGTGCATGTTGGGGAGGTGTCACCCTTTGTGAGGAATGAAGAAATGGACCATGACTTCTGGTGCTTGCCCCGGTCCCACCCTCTTCTGCCAGAGACCCTCAGATCTGTCCCACTCCTGCCCAGGCCCCCACAGGCACCCTTGACGCGAACGATGTAGAGTTGGCCATGCCCACCCAGTAGGCCACACCCATTCCATCCATGCCCACTAATAGGCTGCACCCACCTTGGCCACACCCACTCGCCCCCCCTGAGGGCAACCGCAATGCTGATGCGGCCCTCAGTGAAATTGAGTTTGACACCCCTGGTTTATTGGACTAAAAGTTGTACTGTATTGATAGCTGTTTAGGCAGCTGAACTATTCTAAATACTGTTCTGGGTTTCAAATAGTTTTCCATCTAATATTGTAATTACCATTTTTGTCTGCTCTGGAAGTAATTGATTATTTCTGTGAACAGAAATACAGCTGATACCACTTCGCAATGGCAGTAGTCTTCGTCTATACAATATTTAAGTTTATGTGCCAGTATGAGAATGCATATTTGCATATACAATAGATTAAGTAAGGCTTGAAACTACATCTGTCATTTATGTTTGCATTTTGTCTTTGGTGTGAAGTGATTATCACCAAACTCTGTGCCAAAAGAGCATTCAGTTCAGAAACATAGTCCATCTCAAGTGTTTTTTCTCATCAGTTCTAATTAAAAGGAGGAAGTGGCTAACCTCCCCTTCCAGTGTTACCATTAAATATTTCTGAATACTTTCTGCAAGTATTACAGAAGTGTGCTCTCAGGTTCTCACATCAAGTTAAATAGGAGATGCCACAAAATGGGGCTCACTCATCACCCACTCAGAGCATTACAGGTTTTGTATGTTTTCTTACCAATATGTTTGCTGTCCAGTTGGTATGGAGGTACAATACTTCAAGAAGACAAATTTAACATATAGAAATAATATTTTAGGAAAACAGATTTAACACATTGAAAAATTGAGGAAATTTATACAAAAGAAAATTATAAAAACAGAAAAAATTGAACAATTTTCTTCCCCAGGATCCCAGATCAGGTAACCAAGATGTGAGCCAAAACCAGTTCCATCCCTCTGGATCTTGGGAGATGTGAGAGGCTAGAGCAGTGATGGCGAACCTTTTAGAGACCGAGTGCCCAAACTGCAACCCAAAACCCACTTATGTATCACCAGGTGCTGGGTGGGTATAGCCCACCGGGTGGGCGTGGCTACAGTGATCATGGCAGACTGGGTGAGCGTGGCCACCTCGATGTTGCTGCTGGGGAGGGATTCCTGTGGGAGCCCGGCAGGGATGGGGGAGATTCAGGGGGTCTCTGGCAGGTGGGGCAGTGGGCAGGAGGCTAGTCCTGCAGGGTGAAGCGAGGGGGCAGGGCGGGGGTGAGGCGGACTGGTTGCAGACAAAGGGGGGCTCCGTGAGGAGGAGTAAGAGGGTTTAAGCAAGCTTAGCAACCAGAGTGGGATCCCCTCCCCAAAACGTGCTTCGTGGGTAACCTCAAAGCATGACAGAAGAGATCAAAACCTGCTGCAACCACCCAGCAGATGGGAGGGGAATAAAAACCAAACAGCCCCCCCCTGCGCTCAGGACATCTTGGGACAGGGGGAAGAGTGCGGGCAGGCAGGCATCTTGCTCAGCTGATAGCTTGGGGTGGAAGGGGGCAGCTACACCCCCTCCCAAAGGCTGAAAACTCCAAAAAGGAAAAAAAGTTAAAACAGAAGAGTGTGTTGCCATGCTCTTCTTCCCCACTTCCTTCTAGCTGCAGTTTAAATATGTAAAGACCACAAAAGAAAAAACTTGACTTTCTCTAAAGAGAGGGGCTGGGGGAGCACTGCAGGCGGAACGGCGATGTCGCAAGGCTTCTGGCTATGTAGGAGGGCATTGGGGGCACGTTCTCTTTAAAAGAGCAAAACAAGGCAAAAAAGTAAAAATCCCCTACTCACTCAAAAAAGTAAAAATCCCCCACTCACTTCCCCTCCCAAAAACACAACAACAGAGCTTTCAATGATACAAACAACTTTTTATTGAAAGGTAAAAGTTTGTATTTGGCATGCTTTTGAAGAATTAATGTGATTTTTGCTGTTGTATGCTTGCTAATAATTTATCTAACCTTGGCTCATATTTTGTAAGTTTGAGAGCAACACATGCAGCATTCAGGTCATCTGTTAGTCTGTTTCTGGTGTCAGATTTGATATAATTCAAAGCTGAAAACAGCTGCTCACAAGTATAAGATGATCCAAACAAAGTAAGGAAAGCAATCCCAAGTGCTTTCATTGACTTAAAATTATTTGACAGAGAATTCCACACTTTAAGAATTTCATTTTCAGAACTAACTGTGCTGTCCTTTGTCATCCCTTCTATCTTCTCAAGTGTTTCACGCAGGTCATAGAATTTATTTTTCCAGATAGAGTTTTCTTGAAATTCCAATAGCTCCATTTCCAGATCTCCTAAATCTAACCAGTGTAAGCAGGAAAGATCAAGTTCTTCAAATTTGGCTTTATCTGGAGAAGTAAGAAAACACAGGGTTGTCTCCATCTTACGGAACTGTAAAAATCTGTTACTAAAATTCATCTTTGCAGCTGCTACAATGCTAGAAAATTCCTTGTAGATTTCCTGTTGGTTTGTAGGATTGTCTGCAAATGTAGAATTTTCTAAATGTATTTTTAGATTTGGAAAATATTTCAGCTGCTCGCTTTCAAGGTCTCTTTCAAAAGCCTGCAGTTTTCTCTCAAATGTTTTGATATCACAAAACATCCTTTCTGCTGTTTTCCCTACATCTTGTAATTGTTTGTTCAGTATATTGAAGTGTAGTGTAAAATCTGTAAAAAACATGAGGTTGGTAAGCCAGGCCATATCAGTGAGCTGTGGATATTCTTCCCCCTTTTCATTCATAAACAGCCTAATTTCATCCAAGCAGGCTACAAATCTCTCCAGGACTCGTCCTCTGCTCAGCCACCGGATATTGTTATACATAAATAAACAATTATACTGTGCCTGAACCTCCTCAAGAAGTGCTTGAAATTGTCGACAATTCAAAGCACGAGCCATGATGTAATTCACTATTTTTGTGACATCTTTGAGGACATCGTCAAATTTTTTTTTGCTTTCCCTGGCACAAAGAGCTTCTTGATGTATAATACAATGGAACTGAATGATTTGATGTTTTGTTTCTTTAACAAACAACTGTATGAAACCAGTTGTTGCCCCCACCATAGAAGGTGCTCCATCACTAGTAATTGAAACCACTTTTTCTGGTCTTATGTCTTGTGACAAAAAGGCCTCCTTCACAGCATTGTAGATATCTACTCCTTGTGTTCTTTCAGGCAAAGACACCAGTTTCACCAGCTCTTCTCTCATGATGTCACCAACAGCATAACGCAAAATTACTGCTAGCCTTGCATGATTGTTTATATCTGTGCTTTCGTCCAAGCACATGGAGTAACAGGCTGCCTTTTGTAAGTCAGTGGTGAGCTGCTGACTAACATCACTTGCCATGCGCTGGATTCGATCTTTAACAGTATTTCTGCTAAGTGGCATCTCAGAGATGCGTTGAATAATTTTATCCTTGTTTGGGAAATCATGAAAAAGAGAATCACCCTCAGACAACATGGCCGTTTTGATAATATCGCCATCAGAGAGGTGCTTACCATGTTTTGCTATGCACAGTGAAATTTTAAAACTGGCAGCTGTCAGATGATTTATTCTGGAAAGATAGTTGGAAAAACTAAGATGCGGGGAATGATAGTGCCTCAATTTCCCTTCAAGAAACTCTTTTCTTTCAGTATCACCAAGTTGGGCAACACTTTTGTGGTTGGTGTCAAAGT